TTAACATGCTGTCACCCTAGCAGCACAGTATCACCATGGTGACACTGTAATACTTGTGGGGGGGGGTGATGAAGATTTTTTTTTTTTTTTTTACACTGATTGCTTTTACACCCATAAAGGCTGTAAAAGCAATCATTTCTCCTTCTCTCTGGCTGCATTCCTGCAGCCACTGATAAATACTGTGTGAGCTGATTGGTCACAGCTTGTCACATGGTACAAGGCTGTTGTGAATGGCCCTTTACCATGTGACCTCTGTGATCATTCACAGATTTCACACTTGAGCTCCCCGCCTCCTGCTTTCTGAAAGCTATATAACCTATATAACTTCTGGATCTTGAACAGGTGTTGAGAGAAGACTGCAGATAAACAGGTACAACTTACGTAGGAGGATTGTGTATCATCAGTCACTGGGTACATAGAAGGGTTTACCACCACTTTAATGTTACAGTTCTCCTGGGTAGTGCAAAAAAAAAAAATGACACCCAGCACCCCCCGTAGTACCTCCTTTGGGCCGCAAGATGTCTCCAGTCTTGCCGATTCAATGACACCCAGCACCCCGTAGTATCTCCTTTGGGCCGCAAGATGTCTCCAGTCTTCCCGATTCAATGACACCCAGCACCCCATAGTACCTCCTTTGGGCCACAAGATGTCTTCAGTCTTCCCGATTCAATGACACCCAGCACCCCATAGTACCTCCTTTGGGCCACAAGATGTCTTCAGTCTTCTTGATTCAATGACACCCAGCTCCCCATAGTACCTCCTTTGGGCCACAAGATGTCTCCAGTCTTCCCAATTCAATGACACCCAGCACCACTTGGTACTTCCTTTGGGCCACAAGATGTCTCCAGTGTTCCCGATTCAATGACACCCAGCACCCCATAGTACCTCCTTTGGGCTGCAAGATGTCTCCAGTCTTCCCGATTCAATGACACCCAGCATCACAGACTAAGACCTCATCAGTGTGAGCCCAGTCTGAGCTCTGTATTGTGAATTCAGGGTGCAGAAATTTGAGTTGTCACCAGAGCAAGAATGGAGAGGAAATCCTCCAATGGAGACGCTGGTTCTTCAAGGGGTATACCTTCACTACCACTTCACTCTTGCCGTTAAGAAATAGTCATTTGAACCTTCTAAGTAGTTACGTCTTTCCTGGAGAGGGGGTCACCCTGGTTCCCCCCGAAGCTGCTGCCTCGTTTCTACTTTTCAAATGGGTGCCAAACCACCAAAGTGCCTTTGATTGCCCCAAGTTAGGGCTGGACTGGACTGCGTTTATCGGTTACAACGATGGGTGGTGGCGATGGACCCCCTTAGGGAGGTTTGCACTGCTACCTTTCTGGGACAACAATACCATGGTTTCAGCAGGAAGTACTTGGGTGAGGAGCGCCTGATGACAATGATATTGTTTTTTGGAAGTGTAAAACACTCACCGGCCACTTCATGTGGTCCACCTTGCTTGGACCCCCTTTTGCCTCCATTTTACCTTCATACTTCGTGGTGTAGATTCAGCAAGGTGTTGGAAACGTTCCTCAGAGATTTTGCTCCATATTGACATGATGGCGTCACGCAGTTGCTGCTGATTTGTTGTCTGAGCATCCATGAGGAGAATCTCTCGTTCCAACACATCCCAAAGGTACTTTATTGGATGGAGATCTGGTGACTGGTGACTGTGAAGGCCATTGGAGTTCAGTGACCTCATTGACATGTTCCAGAAACCAGTTGGAGATGATTGGAGCTTTGTGACATGGAGCATTATCCTGCTGGAAGGAGCCATCAGAAGATGGGGACACTGGAGTCATGATGGGATGGACATGGTCAGCAACAACACTCAGGTAGGCCGTGGCATCTAAACGATGCTCAGTTGGTACTAAGAGGCCCAAGTGTGCCAAGAAAATCTCCTCCACACCATGACACCACCACCACCAGCCTGAACCATTGATACAAGGCAGGATGGATCCACCACACCATGACACCACCAAACTGAACCGTTGATACAAGGCAGGATGGATCCACCACACCATGACACCACCAAACTGAACCGTTGATACAAGGCAGGATGGATCCACCACACCATGACACCACCACCAGCATGAACTGTGGATACAAGGCAGGATAGATCCCCCACACCATGACACCACCACCAGCCTGAACCGTTGATACAAGGCAGGATGGATCCCCCACACCATGACACCACCAACCTGAACCGTTGATGCAAGGCAGGATGGATCCATCACACCATGACACCACCACCACCAACCTGAACCATTGATACAAGGCAGGATGGATCCACCACACCATGACACCACCACCAGCCTGAACCATTGATACAAGGCAATTATGGATCCCCACACCATGACACCACCACCACCAGCCTGAACCATGATGCAAGGAGGATTATGGATCCACCACACCATGACATTACCACCTCCAGCCTGATTCGTGGATACAAGGCAGGATGGATCCACCACACCATGACATTACCACCTCCAGCCTGAACCAGTTGATACAAGGCAGGATGGATCCATGCTTTCACACAAATTCTGACCCGACCATCTGAATGTTGCAGCTGAAATCCCCCACCACCAGCCATTTCTGAACAGTGTTGATACAAGTAGCCTCCGTTTCCTGTGCTTAGCTGACCATGTTCATGTTGTGGTCTTCTGCTGCTGTAGCCCATCTGCTTCAAGGTTGGACGTGTTGTGCGTTCAGAGATGGTATTCTTCATACCTTGGGTGTAATGAGGGGGTATTGGAGTTACTGTTGCCTTTCTGACATCTGGAACCAGTCTGCCCATTCTCCTCTGACCCCAACAAGACATTTTCCTCCACATAACTGCCACTCACTGGATATTTTCTCTTTTTCGACCATTCTCTGTAATCCCTAGAGATGGTTGTGTGAAAATCCCAGTAGATCAGCAGTTTCTGAAATACTCAGACCAACCCCCTGGCACCAACAACCATGCCACGTTCAGAGTTACTTAACTTCTCTTTCTTCCCCATTCTGATGCTTGGTTTGACCTTCAGCAAGTCGTCTTCACCACGTCTAGAGGCCTAAATGCATTGAGTTGCTGCCGTGTGATTGGCTGATTAGTAATTTGTGTCAGCAAGCCATTGAAGAGGCCGGTGAGCGTAATGCTACAGGAAGGTATGGAGGTAGTCCAGAGACACATGTCATGCAGGGCTTCCACTAGACCAACTAGGCAGCCACCTAGGGCACACTGCCACCTAGGGGCGCCTGAGTGCAGCACAGGCCGGCACTCTCTCTGTTGGGCCTATGGTTCTCTTGTATGAATTCTTAATTCCTCTGCAAAGTCCCTCCCTCTCCTCATACACGCGGAATGATGAGGGAATGATGGGATCTTTACTCTGCACAGCCCGTGCACACACATGACCATTTAGTACATATATGACACTATTCCATGTAGCAGTGTCGGCTCCCCCTGGGATGGGAAGTGATGACATTAGCCCAGGACCCCGGGCGGTCAGCAGTCTCTGATTGGAGGATCGGTCCGTACATCTCCGGTACACGCACTGGCACACATGATCTTCCAGCTGTAACAGGGACCGAATGGGGCGTGTCCAGCACTGGCTCCACCTTCTTCTACACAGCTGGAACCAATGAATAGGTGGGGGGGGGTGTGCTCTGGTTGCAAGGAAGCGGTGTAGTGCTGGGAGGCCGCCTGTTGTCACTGAGACTGGACTCCACACCCTCGGCAGAAGCCATCAGGTGAGCCGAGCCTAGGAAGATGGCGGGGGATGGAGGTGACAGGAGGGGGGCAGAAAATAGTCGGGGTGAGGGGAGCGGGTGTGGGGTGCTGCCACGTCATGAATGATCCCTTCAGCTGAGGGGAGGGGCGGCAGAGGGTAGGAAGGAAGGACAAAGGAAGATGCCGGGTGTCTTGGGCCAGTGTAGTAGCTGAGCTGCGGCTCCTTCCAGTGTTCCTCTCAGACTAAGTCCTTTAATTTGTCCTTAATATTTTTGCAAATTAAAATAAACTTAGCAGATTCATATTTTGTTGATTTAATATTTAATACTTTTTGTTTTCTTGTTTTTTTTGGGGGGGAGGAGGGGCGGCGCAAGCAGCTGGCGTTGCCTAAGGCGCAAAATAGTCTAGCACCGACCCTGATATCATGCTATGTAACCACTTCATCAGGAGGGTGGTACAGCGACTGAGCGTTGTCACCCGGGGACAGGAAATGTGTTACTGGCCGGATCACCAGGTGAAAATCAAGGAAACAAGCCCAAGCAAAGAAAACAAACGCAGCCACCGCATCTAAGGACTGGCGATATTTTATATTTTTGGTTTTTTGCTGCCACCAGCATGGAAATCTGATAAGCCGACCTTTGACTGTCAGGTGGAAGCAATTCAAAGTACCTCTAGTAGACATGTGCGGGTTCTTTCCTTCGGAATCCAAATTTGGGCGAAGTTTTCGTTATTCAGAGATTCGGATATAATTTCTGAATTACAACAGTAACGGATTTAAACAAATCTGAAAAAAAATTAAGCGAAATTTCAGCAATTTTGAAAATCGAATTCAAAAACAAATTTCTAAGTATTGCGGATTTCCTTCAAAGACTGGGTGTATTAGAATATAGCCATCTTTCCAAAATTCTAATTTCAAACAATAAAATAGAATAGAATAGAAAAGAAAGGAATAGAATAAAATGAAAAAGCTGGAATAGACTAAAATAAAAAGAATATAGCCGTATTTCAAAATCTGAATTTAGAAAAGAATAGAATAAAATAAAATAGAATAGAAAATAATAGAATAAAACAGAATATAACAGAAAAGAAAGGAAGAGAATAGAACAGAAAGAATATAACCGTCTTCAAAAATTTGAATATCGAATAGAATAGAATAAAATAAGTAATAAATATAAAAGAAAAGAAAAAATAAAAAGAATAGAAGAGAATTTTTGAATTTGAATTACAAATAGTATAGAATAGAATGAAATAGAATATAGCCGTCTTTTGAAATTCGAATTTCGAAAAGAATAGAATAAAGCAGAAAGGAATAGAACAGAAAAGAATAGAGTAAAACAGAATAGAATAGAATTGAAAATAAAGAATGGAATAGAAAATAAAGAAAACAGAATAGAAAAGAATAGCATAGAATAAAAAATAAAAGAAGATAATAGAATAGAAAAAAAATAGAATAGAACAGAAAAGAATAAAATATAAAGAATATAATTGTCTTCCAGAACTGAATTTCAAATAGAATAGAACCAGTGATTCTTCACAATTAATCCAATTTGAATAGATTATTTTCTATTCAGATTCAATACTTTGAAAAATTTTAATCCAAAAACCAATAAATGAACAAAAATGAATTTTGTTACAAATGCAACTAAAAGAAATTAGTAAATTGACAAATCAATCCGAAAACTAAAAATAATGAATTTTTCTGTTCTGCACATCTAACCCCCAGTACACCCAATCCCCACCTTCACGCCTAAAGTACATTTTGTTTTTTAAACACGTGCGCAAAATATGCAAACATGACTCTGGCAGGGAGAGGGTTAAGGGAGGGATGATGCCGGAAATCACTGGCTTCCTTCCAGTGGTCTATTGGCCTTGGGCTGGAGCTCCATAGGAAGTCCTGGAACTTCTTCCCTTTGTTTGTTGTTGGTTGTGTGTTGTTTGTATGATGTGAAAATGTTTTTATAGCGCTGGATGGGGTTCAATATCTGTAACTAGTTCCTGAAAAGACAAATACGGAGGATACAAAGAAAGAGATAGAAAGCAGAGATACATCGATGACTTCCAAGCTTCTCATCCACTTTTTTAATTATTATTATACAGGATTTATATACTATTATAATCCTACAGGATTTATTTTTTATTATTATTATTTTAATGATACAAAATGTATTTACTTATTTAATTATTATTATTATTATTTTACAGGATTTATTTATTATTGTTAATATTATTATTATTATTATTTTACAGGATATAAATATATATATATATATATATACACATACATTATATTATTATTATTTTTATTATACAAGATTTATATATTACTATTATTATTGTCCTACAAGATTTATTTATTATTATTATTGTTTGTATTATTATTATTATTATTATACGGATTTACCGTATTTTTCGCTCCATATAATATGCACCTAGGTATATATATATATAACAGGAAAAAAAATTATTTTTATTACTACAGGGACATTACAGGGATTTTTCGCTCCATAGAGCGACAGCACAGGTTTTAGAGGCGGACATAGTACAGGGATGACCAGAACCGCGGACACAGTACAGGGGATGACCAAGGACTGCGGACATAGTACAGGAGATGACCAGAGACTGCGGACATAGTACAGGAGATGACCAGAGACTGCGGACATAGTACAGGAGATGACCAGAGACTGCGGACACAGTACAGGAGATGACCAGAGACTGCGGACACAGTACAGGAGATGATCAGAAACTGCGGACACAGTACAGGAGATGATCAGAGACTGCGGACACAGTACAGGGATGACCAGAGACTGCGGACATAGTACAGGAGATGACCAGAGACTGAGCGACACAGTACAGGAGATGACCAGAGACTGCAGACATAGTACAGGAGATGACCAGAGACTGCGGACATAGTACAGGAGATGACCAGAGATTGCGGACACAGTACAGGGGATGACCAGAGACTGCGGACACAGTACAGGAGATGGTCCAGAGACTGCGGACATAGTACAGGGGATGACCAGAGACTGCGGACACGGTACAGGAGATGACCAGAGACTGCGGACACAGTACAGGAGATGACCAGAGACTGCGACACAGTACAGGAGATGATCAGAGAACTGCGGACACGGTACAGGAGATGATCAGAGACTGCGGACACAGTACAGGAGATGACCAGAGACTGCGGACACAGTACAGGAGATGACCAGAGACTGCGGACAGTACAGGGATGACCAGAGACTGCGGACAGTACAGATGACTGCTGACCTTTGGGGAGGGGGGGAACCGGGTACCTGAATTTGACAGGTACCCGCTCTTACTTCTGCAGAGTTTTTGTTTGATCTTACCTGTTCCTCGATCCAGCGGCGCGCTGTCTTCCCGGCTCTGTAATGGCGCTCGGCATGACAGCCGGGTGCACAGTGCCATGAGCGAGAAGCACTTGCGCTTTGTGATTGGTCCGACGGCTTCTGGGATCTGTCATGTGTCCCAGGTACCGCCTTACCATTCACAAAAAGCACCGCTTCTTGCGCATGCGCATTTGGCACCCGGCTGTCTTGCCCAGCGCCCACACTACAGAAGCCGGGAAGACCGCGCCGCTGGATAGAGGAACAGGTAAGATCAAAGAAGTAAGAGCGGGTATCTGTCCAATTCAGGTGCCCGCTCCCCACCTCCCCAAAGGTCAGCAGTCCTCTCCATAAGGTCCCGCTGCAGAGCTGAGCGGCCGGCCCGGTATTCTGCACGGCGGCGGTGGAAATACTGGACCGGCCGCTCTATATTCGCTCCATAAGACGCACTGACATTTTCCCCCTTTTTTTGGGGGGAAAAAAAGTGCGTCTTATGGAGCGAAAAATACGGCATATTATTATTATTATCCTACAGGATTTATTTATTATTATTACTATTATTATTATACAAAAGGTATTTATTTATTATTATATTACAGGACTTATTTACTATTATTATTATTATTTTACAGCAAGGGCGTCCCTAGGGTTGGTGTCACCCGGTGCAGTAACACTTGGTGACACCCCCTCCGATGATCCCTGCAGTCCGATCCATTATGCTCCCCAATCCGCAGATCCGATCCATCCTGTGGGGATCGTCGGCTTGCAACCTATACAGATTGACACCGGAGGACGGATCGGATCTGCGGATTGGGGAGCATTATGCTCAATCTGCAGATCCGATCCATCCTGCGGGGATCGTCGGCTTGCTTTAAAACGTTACCTTTTCGTGGAGTGGGTCCGGTGTCACCCCCCCCCCCCCCCCCCCCCGCACCTGTCCTATTCATGATCACATGAATAGTAGTAAGCAAGATGTCACTTCTGACATCATTGCTTACCATGTGTGAAATCTGTGAATGATCACACAGATCACATGGTACAGGGCTATTCACAACAGCCTTGTACCATGTGACAAGCTGTGACCAATCACAGCTCACACAGTATTTCTCAATGGCTGCAGGAATGCAGCCAGAGAGAAGGAGAAATGATTGCTTTTACAGCCTTTATGGGCTTAACAGCAATCAGTGTAAAAAAAAAAAAAAAAATCTTCATCACCCCCCACAAGCAGTACAGTGTCACCAGGGGTGGACTGACAACTCATGGGGCCCCCAGGCAATAGGGGATCATGGGGCCCCTGTGTCCTTGCCCAAACTCAAAAAAGCCTATGAAAAAGGTACCGGGGCATCTCATGGGGCCCCCTACTGACCCCGGGCCCTTGGGCAGTGCCTGAGTTTCCAAATGGTTAGTCCACCCCTAAGTGTCACTATGGTGACACTACTGCTAGGGTGACAGTATGTTAAAAAAAACATAAATAATAATATAAAAAAAAATCAAATAAAAATGTAAAAAAAAATTATAATTTTTGGTTATAAACTAATTTGGGTTATTTTTTTTTTTACTAAAAAGATAACTGAATACATTTTAGCCAATATTTATGCCGATTATTTATTTGCAAAATTTTATAAGAACACTTTTTTTCAAAATTTTTGGACATTTTTATTTATATAGCAAAAAAAAATAAAATCCCAGCGGTGAATAAATACCACTAAAATAAAGTTTTATCTATCTCAAAAAATGCTAAAAAATTCATATGTGTACAGTGTTGCATGACCGCGCAACTGTCATTCAAAGTGTGATAGCGCTGAAAGCTGAAAATTGGCCTGGACAGGAAGGGGTGTGAAAGCATCCAGACTGGAAGGGGGTGAAAGTGTCCGGACTGGAAGGGGGTGAAAGTGTCCTGACTGGAAGGGAGGGAAGTGTCCGGACTGGAAGGGGGTGGAAAGTGTCCGGACTGGAAGGGGGTGAAAGTGTCCGGACTGGAAGGGGGGGAAAGTGTCCGGACTGGAAGGGGGAGGAAGTGTCCGGACTGGAAGGGTGGAAAGTGTCCAGACTGGAAGGGGGTGAAAGTGTCCGGACTGGAAGGGGGGGAAAGTGTCCGGACTGGAAGGGGGGGGGAAAGTGTCCGGATTGGAAGGGGTGAAAGTGTCCGGACTGGAAGGGGAGGAAAGTGTCCGGATTGGAAGGGGTGAAAGTGTCCGGACTGGAAGGGGGTGAAAGTGTACAGACTGGAAGGGGGGGAAAGTGTCCGGACTGGAAGGGGGGGAAAGTGTCCGGACTGGAAGGGGGGGAAAGTGTCCGGACTGGAAGGGGGGGAAAGTGTCCGGACTGGAAGGGGGGGAAAGTGTCCGGACTGGAAGGGGGTGAAAGTGTCCGGACTGGAAGGGTGGAAAGTGTCCAGACTGGAAGGGTGGAAAGTGTCCGGACTGGAAGGGGGTGAAAGTGTCCGGACTGGAAGGGTGGAAAGTGTCCGGACTGGAAGGGGGGGAAAGTGTCCGGACTGGAAGGGGGGGGAAGTGTCCGGACTGGAAGGGGGGGAAGTGTCCGGACTGGAAGGGGGTGAAAGTGTCCGGACTGGAAGGGTGGAAAGTGTCCGGACTGGAAGGGGTGGAAAGTGTCCGCACTGGAAGGGGGGGAAAGTGTCTGGACTGGAAGGGGGGGGAAGTGTCTGGACTGGAAGGGGGGAAAGTGTCCGGACTGGAAGAAGGGGGGGAAAGTGTCTGGACTGGAAGGGGGGAAAGTGTCCGGACTGGAAGGGGGTGAAAGTGTCCGGACTGGAAGGGGGTGGAAAGTGTCCGGACTGGAAGGGGGGAAAGTGTCTGGACTGGAAGGGGGTGAAAGTGTCCAGACTGGAAGGGGGGGGAAAGTGTCCAGACTGGAAGGGGGGGAAAGTGTCCGGACTGGAAGGGGGTGAAAGTGTCCAGACTGGAAGGGGGGGAAAGTGTCCGGACTGGAAGGGGGTGAAAGTGTCCAGACTGGAAGGGGGCGAAAGTGTCCAGACTGGAAGGGGGGGAAAGTGTCCGGGACTGGAAGGGGGGGAAAGTGTCCAGACTGGAAGGGGGGGGAAAGTGGGACTGGAAGGGGGGTGAAAGTGTCCAGACTGGAAGGGGGCGAAAGTGTCCAGACTGGAAGGGGTTAAATCAAGCCGATCTCTTTTTTTACATTTTATTTATTTATTTATTTTGATTGAGATTTTACAATCCTTGTACATAAATATAATGTGGGGATTTGCAGTATACATGTATTCAGTCATGGTCAGTGGTCTCTGGATACTGGCCCGGTGGAGGGGAAGTTGCTGGTTGTGTGGAGACATTGCTCTTCCGAAACCCCCCCACCCCCCATGGGAGGGAGGATTCAGGGAGACCCTCTAGTAGGTTATTAGAGGAGGTCAGAGGTCATAGGAGGCTGTCACGAGATTAGCACTACATCAGATGATGATCAGCAGATTCTACTAAAATCACAGCAACTTGTAGAAATGTAGAATTGGACGGAGATTCCAGTTAGCATCTCTGCTGGAAGTTGGAATTTCTATTGAATTGTTACAAGGCTGACATTGCATTCACAATAGAGGTCCCAGGTGTAGGAGCTGCTTCTGCACCTTCCGGGTATGTCCGGTCCTTCTGTCCCTCACTTCTCTCTGCCACCAATTCCCTTTTCTGTCTCTATCCTTCCTTCCATCCACTTTTCCCATCTTCATTCCTTCCTTTCATTCATCCTTCCTTCATTACTTTCCTACCTGCTACTTTCTTTCTTTTTTACTACCTTGCTTTCTTCATTCAATGTTTCCTTCCTTTATTCTTTCTTCTTTTCTTTCTTTCATCCACTTTTCCCTTTCTTCCCTTTCCATATTTTTCTTCTACCTTCCTTTCTCCCTTTCATGATTCCTTCCTTCATCCCTTCCTATTTTTTTCTTTCTTTCTTTTTTTTTTCTCTTCTTTCCCTTCCTTATCTTTCTTCCTTGCTACCTTCTATTATTCTTTCCCTCTTTCCTTCTTTAGCTACCTTCTATTTTCTCCCTCCTTTCTTGCTTGTCTTCCTTTCCTTCTTTCCTCATTCTTTTCCTCCTTTTTTTTTTAGCCTCCCTTTCTCCCTATCGTCCTTTCTTGTTCCCGTCTTTTTCTTACCTTCTATTACCTTTCTTTCTATCTACTTTCCTTTCATCCTTCCATGTCCCCCCCCCTTTCTTTTCCTTCTTCCTCACTACCTTCCTTTATTCTTTCCATGTCCCCCTCCTTTCTCCCTTCTTTTCTTCTTTCCTTCTTTATCTTCTCATTTCTCCTTCTTTCTTCCTATCTTTCCTCCTTCTTTTCCTTCTCTTTTCTTACCTTTACTTTTTCCATTTATACTCCATTCCTTCCTTCTTTCCTTCCTTACTTCCTTGCTCCCTCCCTTTCTTACCTCTTATTTTTTTATACTACATTCCTTTCTTCTTTCCATATTTCCCTTCCTCTTTTCTCCTTTTTCATTCTTCCTTCCTTCCATCTATTCATCATTCCTTTTTCTTTCTTTCATCCCCCTTTCTTTCTTATCTTCCTTCCTTCCTTCCTTCCTTCCTTCCTTCCTTCCTTCCTCCCTTCCTTATCTTTCTTCCTCACCAGATTCCTTTACTCTTTCCATGTCCCCCTCCTCCTTTCTCCCTTCTTTCCTTCTTTATCTATTTTCTCATTTCTCCCGTCCTTTCTTTTCCGTCTCTTTTCTTACCTTTCCTTTCTTTCATTCTCCCTCCCTTCCTTCTATTCATTCTTCCTTCTTTACTTTCTTGCTCCCTCCCTTTCTTATCTCTCTTTTTTTTATGTTCTCACTACCTTCCTTCTTTCCATATTTCCATCCCTCTTTTCACCTTTCTTTCCTTCTTCCTTCATTAATTCCTTACTCCCCCTATCTTATCTTTCTTTCTCACTAACCTTTTTTTTTTTGCCTTTTTTCCGTCCTTCCTGCCTTCCTTCCTTCCCTCCCTACCTTCCCTTCCTTTCCCTTCCTTCCTTCCTTCCTTCCTTCCTTTCCTTCCCTTTCCTTCCTTCCTTCCTTCCCTCCTTCCTTCCTTTCTTCCCTTCCCTTCCTTATCTTCTTCTTCCTTCCTTTACTCTTTCCATGTCCCCTCCTTTCTCCCTTCTTTCTTTCCTTCTTTATCTATTTTCTCATTTCTCCCGTCCTTTCTTTTCCTTTTCTTACCTTTCCTTTCTTCCATTCTCCCTCCCTTCCTTCTATTCATTCTCCTTCTTTACTTTCTTGCTCGCTCCCTTTTCTTACCTCTTTTTTTTCATGTTCTTCCTACCTTCCTTCTTTCCATATTCCCATCCCTCTTTTCATCTTTCTCTCCTTCTTCCTTCCTCCCATCTATTCATCATTCCTTTTTTCTTCCCTTCCTTCTTTCGTCTCCCTTTTTTTTTATCTTTCTTCTTTACTACCTTCATTTATTCTTTCCATATTTCCTTCCTTCCTTCACCAATTCCTTCCTTCCT